TGCCAGTTCAGTGCCCTGCAAACAGCAGCCAAGGGACTGGCCCAGCCTGTGATGCTGTGACAAGTGACAGCTGGGTGACATCCCCTGCTGGGCTCTGTGACAGAGCTCTGGGCTGTGCCAGTCACACACACACCGAGAGCCTTTGGACCTCCAGAGCTGCCACTCAGGCCTGAAGGGGACTGAACTCAGCTGCCAAATTTCCCTCCAAAACCAGAAATTAAAGAAATATCCCTTTTTTCCCCCACCAAATTTAGGAAGAACCTCTGATGAATTCCTCACTGCCCACCTGAGTACTGCCAGACCTGTGGAATTTTAGGTTAAAACTCTTCAAACCTGTGCCTGCTTGCTAGTGTAGCAAAGGTCACATAATATCATGAGTTATTTATATATATATATATATATATATATATATATATATATATATAAAATATATATAAATACAGATATATAGATATAAATATATAGATAAATATATAGATAAATGGAAAATAAATAGAAAAATAAAGTATAAATATAGATATAAATATGTGTGTATATTCATATATATTTATATTTACTCACACATATATATTTATATATATATTCACATATAGCTTGTGTTTTAAGTGTTGGAGAGAGGGCAGAGCCACCCCTGAGCACTCTGAGCAATGCCCATCAGCCCAGCTGTGATGCCCACAGCCCACCCTGGCTGTGTGTGTGCATTTCTCCTGATGCTGGCCTGCAGGAGGCCTCTGCACTCTTTCTAGCATTTACAAGTCCAGGCTTGCCCAGGGTTTTCAGCCTGAGAAACACAATTGCTCTGGGTCACATTTATGCACCCAGACACCTGCCTGGACTGAGGCTGGCAAGGGACAAACCTTTTTGGCTTAGTGTGAAATATCCATTTCTGAGGAAGCCACTGCTGTGGGATGGGTGTCTGATGCCCTGCGGTGTCATCACACAATCACAGGGTCATCGAGGTTGGGAAAGACTTCCAAGATCATCAAATCCAAGCTGTGCCCAATCCCCACCTCATCCCCAGCCCAGAGCTCTGAGTGCTACCTCCAGCCCTTCCTGGGACACCTCCAGGGATGGGCACTCCAAACCTCCCTGGACAGCCCCATCTGATGTTTAACAACGTTTTCCATGGGGAAATTCCTGCTGTGCCCACCCTGAGCCCAGCCTGAGCCATTCCCTCTGCTCCTGTCCCTGTTCCCTGGAGCACAGCCCGACCCCCCGGCTGTCCCCTCCTGTCAGGAGCTGTGCAGAGCCACAAGGGTCCCTCCTGAGCCTCCTTTGCTCCAGGCTGAGCCCCTTCCCAGCTCCCTCAGCCTCTCCTGGGGCTCCAGACCCTCAGGGTCCCCCTGGCCAGGAGGGCCCAGGACAGGAGACAGCCCCTGAGGTGACCCAGCAGTGCCCAGGAAGGGGACATGAAATGATTCTCCTGGTCCTGCTGGCCACTCTGCTCTTGATACAGGTCTTTTCTCCTTTCCCCAGCTCCCTCAGCTGCTTCTCACAGTGTTGGGATCAGATTTGGCTGCAGAAGGCCAAGCTGCCCTCTGAGACACAGCTGCAGATCTGGAAAGGCTCCTTGGCTCATTGGCTTCAGCCTGATTTTCTCTACAGTAGCAGGTTTGAGACTGTCACCTGTATTTTATTAATTTCTCAGAGCCACATTTTTTTTGGGAACAAATTTCCCATTAAAACTGAAAGCAGGGTGCTGGATTTCTTTTCCTGGTTTGTTGAGTGTCAGAGAAAAATACCTATAAATTGTGTGTGTGTGTGTTCATTTGTATCTGCAGGGTTTTATTTTTTTTCCTTTTGTAAATGAGAAGATATTTTGATACCAAATTTTTGCAGCTCAAATAACAAGAAAAGCCATCAGCCCAGATTATACAATTCCCAGTGAAATGAGGCTCAAAGAGGCCAGCAAGGAGATGATGAGGGCTGTACCTTTCCAGGTCATCAATTTGTCTGTGAGTTCATTTTCCCTCTAAAAAAATGAACTTAACAATACCCCTCAGATCCACACTAATGGATGATTTGTTATTTGTGAAATGGGGATGAGTTTCTGCAAAGAAATGCTTCCACAGAAAGAACATTTCACAAACACTTGGTGATGGATTTCATTCCTCCCCCCTGTTGCTCAGGTACTGCACAGACAGTGGCATGGAGCATTGGAGGAGACTGATCCCATTTTTCACAAACATTTAATGAGCTGACATTGCATCCCTCTCAGCCTGTGCCTGTGGGTTCCTGCAGCCCATCCATTGGGGCCTGACAGCTGAGTCAGGGCTGGAAAACTCCCATAAATCTGCTTTAGTGTCCACTGGTGTTTAGCTAACAATAGGACATAATCTCATTCGGGATTGAAATGAAATCATGGCATTTCCCTGCTTTAATAAGACACAATTAATCCCTGTTGTGGCTAGGGCTGGGCTGCTGCTCAGTGAGGTCTCTGCCTGAGTGACCTCAGCTGGACCCAGCACAGAATTGTGTCACAGGATCATGGAATGGTCTGGACTGGGAGGGACCTTAAAGCTCATCCATGGGCACCTCCCACTATCCCAGGTTGCTCCAAGCCCTGTCCAGCCTGGCCTGGGACACCTCCAGGGCTGGGGCTGTGTCCCCCAGAGCATCCCTGAGGTGCTGGCTCTGCCACAGGGCTGGAGCCAGGCTGAGCACCCAGCTGTGCAATGCTGGTTGTAGGAATCCACAAAATGAGAGGGTTTTGGGAAAGCTGCAAAAGGCAGGGCCCAGAGACAGCAGAACTGTGATTAGAGCTAAGCAGCAGCCATGAGATTGGTCAGCAGAAAAAATATTTAAACTGTAGAAAAGCAAAGACAAATAGAACAATGGCGGGTGTATTAATGCTTGTCTAGAATAACTCTCTAAGCGACAGAAAAGTTTATCCAGCAAGCTATTAGGAAGGTTGAAACTTAATAATGGAGCTCTGTGCATTGTGTTTTAAGGTTCACAAGCAGGTATTGTATTTGAAATAAGCAAGCATTGTTTTAACCAAAGGTACGTGTGCTTATAGTGCTTGGATAGAACTACTGTCAATGTGCTTTGGCTTTGTGTGATTGCTCAAAAAACTTATAAAGTAAGTTGTAAAATTCAATTCTTGGTTTGCTGCCTGGGATGTGAGCTGCTGGCATCTTCCCATTGTCATAACCATGGAATGAGACTGATTCTGGAAAATAAAACAGCTCAAGGCACATTCCCAGCAGCCCTGTCCTGTTTGTGATTTGTACACAGACCCCAGTGACACTGGTTTTTCACTCCCTTGCCCATTTTAACAGTGCAGGAGCCCTGGTTCATGGCCACAAACCACACCCAGTTTCCATCTGGGCTGCCTGGGAGGCAGAACGGATCCAAATCTGAATCCACAGCAACTCCAGCCTCAAGCAACTCCAGCCTCAGCTCAGTCCCCTTCCTGAATGTTTGACCTGTTCCTGTCTCTGGGTGGGACCTGGCAGCAGTGGCCACAATCCCTGCTTGGTTCCAGCAGCTGACAGAGCTCCCTGTGAGGGGTCCTCAGTAAATTACCCACTGGGTATATTAATTAATTGTTGGAGTACACAAAACAGAGAGTACGTTGGACCTCATTAGAAGAGATTTGATAAACAAAATACCTTGGCAAGAGCAAACAGAACTTTGAGGATTCAAAATGCAAGAAGATTCAGACTGGTTTACCAGAAAATGAAAATTACATCAGACTTCTGCAAGCAAGAGATGTTTCAATTGTATAAATTTGTTTATGTGATCTTTAACCCAATTATTGTAGTAAAGCATTAGTAGTCTCCCTAAAATAGTATATAAAACTTTGTATCTCACAATAAAATTGGATTCTTTGACCACCTCAATATCTTCCCCATCTCTCTGCTGATAATTAATAAGCTCTGCCTTATGCATTTGAAGAGGAAAATAAAAGGCCCTGACAATTTGCTCCCACTTGAATGCTCTGTAACCCTCCAGAGACTGATGGGCTGGGAGAGCATCTGAAAGCACTAAAACCAAATTTCAGCAGCTCTTCCTGGGGTGGGCTCTCACCAGCAGCCCCCTTTGGTCCCTCACTAATGCATCATCTCACACTGAGCAGCAGAATTCAGAAATTCAGAGCAAGAGACTGCCTGGGATTGATATGGAGCTAAAGACAGAAATGTTCTGGCTTATTAAAAAGCATGCTGGCCATTCCTGGGGTGAGCACACTGCTCCTACGTGGCATCTGCCAGCTGCTGGTGAGGAGCAAAAACAACTGCACGAGTTGCTTCAGCTGAAATAAAATCATATATACATATATATCTATAAAAATATATCTGGTTTATTTATGGTATATATGTGTATACATATATGGGACTGGGCACCAACTTGCCTTTGCAAGAGTCAGATATTGGTGCTGAGAGCTGTGTGAGGCTCATGTCACAGTGTCAGTGACATGAACAGCTCTCCTGATTCATGCTAAGGCAAAGCAGAATCTTGGTAAATTGTCTCTGTTAGACAGATTTTCTTATTTCAGGCTCCCTGTGCTCACACTCTGCCTGTTCCAATTCCTTGATTTGTTCCTTTTGCTTCTGGTCTCTCCTTGTCCATTCTCAACCCACCCATTCCCTTCTCCCTTTTCCCCTCAAACCAAGAGCTCTTTTGGAATATCTCAAACACATTTTTACCCCTCCTTCGTGCAGATGAGGACTTTACACACATTTGCAAGAGCCAGCATTTAAAATAGGACTTTAAAATCAGAGTGATGTTTACATCTCCTAACAAAAAGCTCTTTGGAACAGACACCCCAGGGCACATTCAGAAATATTTGTTATTTCCCCAGACATACACTTACCCAGATGTACTGAGTAAATTGAAAGCTTTTTTCTTGTTTTCATTTTTCCCTCACTAATTCAACTTTTCACTAACAGGAGCCTTTATTGGAAATGTCAAGATGTGCACAATTGACTTATTTGTGCCCTTGGGCAATATTTGCATTAGAGATATGACAAATTGCCTGTGTTCCTTCAGGGTCTTACCTGTCCTGATGGGGTTTTTGATGCCCTCCATGGCAGGATCAGCTTCCTGAAAGAGAGGAAAGAGTAGAGATGGATTATTCTGGCAATAGGAAGTACCCAATTCACTGGGTATCCATGCATCTGTGGATCTGAAACATTTCTGGTTTATTCTAACATAGAAAATTGACATTTTTCACACAGCAAGATTTTTTCAGCATAGTAAGAAAATTATGTGGGTTCTGTTGGGGATGTTTCAGAAGCACAAATCCTAAAAAAAAAATCCCTCTCTGTGTCTTTCAGGGACTGGACAACCTGGAGAGCCAAGCGCTGGGAAAGTTCATCAAAGCCCCAAAGAGGTCTGAGCATGACAGTGATGTCCTACCTCACCTTTCCTCCTAATTCTTGCTGAGGTGTAAAACCAAGGGTGAAAATGGCACAGGAAATTCTCCTCAGTCAGCATGACATGAGAAATTCCCAGAAAACCAGCTCCAGGGGTGAAATGCAGCAGGATTCCCTCTGATGACACCTTCCTGTCACCCAGACACACACCCCAGAGCTCCTGGCACCTCATAAATACCCTCAAGGGGCAAAATGTTCTCCCAACAGCTGAGGAGAGCACTGGGAGCTCCTTGTTGCAGTAAGGTTATAATAAAAATTATAAAGAAAAGCCTCATAAAATCAAAAATTATAAAGAAAAGCCATATAAAATCAGGCCTGCTCTGGCTGGCCTGTCATTTCTTCTAAGTCAAGCTGTCACTGTGCAAGTTCCCATTTGGAAGCAATCCTGGTGTGAGCAGTTCATTAACTTAACAATCTATTCCTGGGTAAAAACCAACTTATATCTGTATAAACTTTATATACTTTATATATTTTATATATAAAAATATAATTATATAATAAATATATATTTATATATACTTAATATATTCATATATTTATATATAAAAAATATATTTATATATTTATATAATAATGTAAATAAATAATAAATATAATATAAAGTTTATATACTGTTAGATAGAAAAATGAAAACTATCTGTACAAAGAACTTTTCCTGCACATACACACCAAGGGTTGGAGTGACCAATCCATACAGAATAACAACTTGTTACTGACCAATAAAGTGATTTGCAAGAAAGCTCCTGATCAATGGGAGTCACACATGAAGTCTGTAAAACTGTATAAAAAGGAGTTCTGTGAATAAAGAAGGAGCTTTTTCCACCATGAAGAAAATTGAATCCCTCTTATTTATTCCCACAGTTCCTCGCTGTGTGTCCCATCCCTTCAGTGTCACCCTGGGTAATCCCACAGGGATTTCAGCAACAGAGAGAGTAGGCTCGGCTGAACCAGCTCCTCTTACCTGGCTGCAAATTACCTGGGTTAATTGTGCAGGCTAATCAGGTTCAGCTTAGCACATTGAAAGGGATCCATTAGGATCATTGAGTCCTTCTCCCTGGTCCTCATTACCTAAAATTAAACCACAGGATCTAAAACCTCACCCAGTTGCTCCTTGAGCCTTGTCAGTGACCCACCTGAGCACCTCCCTGTTCACTGACCCACTAGGACATCCAGGAAGGAGAAATTTGGGAAGCTCTACCAGCTTTAAGACAACATCTGATATCTCCTGATGTGGTAGGAACAGCTTCATCCATAGTGGTGTTACAGCACAAACACCTCATTTCTGTGTCAGAAGTGGATAATGGGTGGTGTGGGGAGGAGGAAGCTGGTTGGACAAGGAGAAAAGCTGTGTTGGATCTGTTTGTGGTACTTAATGTTCTAATCTTAAATGTTTAGGAAGGTTTTTAATTAGATTTTGGCTTCATGTGGCCACGTTTGAACAGCAGAATGTGGAGCTACATCTACTCCCAGCAGAGAGTTGTTATGCTTTGGTCTGGTGCCAAATTCTGTGTCCTGCAGTGGTGGCAGAGCTGCTCCCAGGGGACTGGGCAGTGACAAGTTAATGGTTGGACTCACTGATTTCTGGGTTCTCTCCCAGTTTGGATGATTCTGTGATTCTCCGGGAATTTGGAGATCAGTAATTTGTTCATTTTCTCTCCCCACACCTGTGTAGGGCAGGGCAGAGTCACCTCCTGAGCCAATATTTCTCCAGGTGACTTTCCTGAGCTGTGCAGGGAGGTGCTGGGCAGCAGGAGAACAGGAACCCAGAGATGGAATTTGCAAAAATTGAGATTTCCAAGCTTTTTGGCTCTGACACAACATCCTCCCTTGGGAGCTCTCATGGATCTCATCATGTAAGACCAAAGGTTAAACTGAGCAGGGTTTGGGCTGAAAACACCCCCAGGAATCTCTGCCAGGACCTCTCAGCCCCTTCCCTTGCCCCTGCCCTGGGCCGTTGTCTCACACACACTCAGGGCACAGGGAAGTGTTGCTGTTCACTGCAATATCTGAACATTCCTGCTCTCTGTGGAGAATTCAGGATATTTCAGGTGACAGAAAAAGGGGGCTCTGTCCCCAGTGAGATTGCACTCAATGAAATCAGGCAGCCAGGGAGGTGTTTGCCTTGCTGGTGGCTCAGAGCCTGCTCTACATTTAGGGCATAAAAACAAAATTAAAATGGACTAAAGGCATTGTGTTCTCACCTGGGAAGTCTCCCAGCACATAGCAAAGCAATTTATTTTAGTGACAATTGAGTAGATACTGAAATAAACCTTTAGGACTTCCTTTGAGATATTACTGGTGTTATTTCTTTCTTTTCCAGCAGCAAGAATATCACATGTAATGCTGTCATTTGGAATGCGAAGAGGCACACAGGAGGAGCCCAAACAGATTAAATTCCACAGTGCCAGCTAAGAAAAAATTCAAGACAACAAATTTCACTCTGTCTGGAGCGATCTAGGGGCTGGTGATGAAAGAGCTCAGTCTTTCCTCAGCAAGCAGAATAATTTGAGTTTGCTTTATTAGTGAAAATGACAATCGGGTGCCAGTGAAAGTGATTTATTTCTTCTTTCTCTTAATCATTTTACAAGAAGCTTTCTCAAGCTGAGGCAGAATAAAGGGTCATTCTAAATTCCTGGGTCACAGCAGTGAATATTCATTGAACCAGACACCTCTGATCCCTGTGAGTGTGGGCAGGCCCTGGCACAGGGCCCTGGATCCCTGGCAGTGCCCAAGGCCAGGCTGGGCAGGGCTGGGAGCAGCCTGGGACAGTGGGAGGTGTTCCTGCCATGGCAGGGGTGGGATGGGATGAGATTTAAGATCCCTTCCAACCCAAACTACTCTGAGATTCTGTGAAATCTTTATCTACTCTAGAAATCCAAGGAAATTCCCCCAAACCAGTGACCATAATGGGCCTGGGCTTTCCTGGAGCAGCTCCTTACGTCAGCTCTGTGGGCAGGAGGTCTTTGGTCCCCTGCCCTCAAAGGAAATGCTTCCATTCCAAAAGAGGCCCCAAGGCTCTCCTGTGTTCCTGCTCAGCCTCTCACCACCATGATTTCAGCAGGAATTTCCCCATGGAAAGGGGGCTCAGGCCTTGGCACTGCCCGGGGAGGTTTGGAGTGCCCATCCCTGGAGGTGTCCAAGGAAGGGCTGGAGGTGACACTGAATGCTCTGGGCTGGGGACAAGAGGCGATGGGGAACTGCTGGGGAATATGAAACACAAAAGCCTTATAAATATGATTGCCTGGCAAAAGATTTTGAGAATATAGAAACCATAAGCGAGATTGAAAGGAAAGCAAGCTTTGAGATACCTCAGTTACTGAACAACTGGAAAACAATGGTGTGGCCAGCTGAAGGTGATCCCCTTTTGATGGAACAACACCCTCTGCTTGCAGACAGGCCCAAGGGTCAGAGCAGACCCTACAGCTTGGCAGAAGGGACCCAAAGAGGAGTTTTTAGGGTTTAAAATGTAACACAGTGTGGTAATGTAATGATTCTTATAGGCTGTGTGTAAGTGCTGTAGGATTTGTATCTTGTACTAGATTGGTTAGTGAGAATGAGAATATTCAATACAGAAGATTTATTGTATTGTAACGGGAACCTCGCTCTCTTACCCTTTTATTCTCTTACCTTCTTTACTCCCTTGCTCTCTCACCCTCTCATCCTCTCTCCCTCTCTCTTCTCTCGGGCCTGCTCTGAGCTGCGGCTGGCAGCTCCCAGCAGGGCCCTGCACCCAGGCCCTTTGCAATAAACCCCAAGTTCCAAGCCTGGCTCCAGAGATTTCTCATCTCCATCCATCCCCACCATCCTACCCCCGACGCTCCTACAGAGAACAGGTTGGATTTGATGATTTTCGAGGGCTTTTCAGTGATTCTGGGTTTTATTCTATGACCCAGCTCTGGCTGGGAAAGAAGATGTTGGGGGCACTTCCTCCTGAGGTGCCCAGAGACAAAGGTTGAAGCTGGACATGAGAAGAGCAGAAAGCAGAGCACTGTCCCACTGTCCCTCATCTGATAACAAGTCTCACTGGAAACATGGTAAAAATCAGTTTTTCCTGTGCTGACCAAAGCAACATCCACAGCAAGAGCTGGGCCAGGGCAGTTTTCTCCTAAAATGCCTCCCTGGATTTCCTGTAGTGCTCAATAAATGAAAATTCTGCTTTTAGACGAATTTTCAGTATTTTAATTTAATTTTATTTTAAAATTTTATTTTATTTTCCTGTCTGTCAGGGTTGCCACAAGAGGGGGCACCCAGGGCCAAAATGAGTTTTTAGGAGACACAAAAACCCAATAAATAGTGCAGAACTGTGCTGGCTGCTGGATGAGTCATTCACAAATCTACTGCTAAAGCTTCTTAACAGCCTAAAAGAGCAGATCAGCAAATAGAAAAACCTACTCTGACCTTTAGTATTTGCCACACTGCTGATAAAAGGTTTTCCCCACACAGTTTAGAAGTTCAATAGATGAAGTCTACAAAATCCAGAGCAGTGATGGACTAACCCAGACCATGGACTCTGGACATCCACACAATTTGTTAATGGGAGGCCCAGGTGTCTGATGAACTTTTCTGTACAGCACCAGACTTGTGAGGGTCTGTGTGCCTTAAAATGACATTTTCCAGCCCTTCCTGTCCCATTCTGCATCACTGGTTTGCCATGTCTCTCTCTGTGCACACAAATATCTCCAGAAGTGGGTATATACACATATATCCAGCAGGCACAAGGGTGGAGGGTTTAACACACTTATGAACAGTGTTAAGAAGAAAAATGATGGCTCCAGACCACCTTACAGAGACTGTGCTCATTCCAGAGGAAAATTGAGTCACTTGTGAAAGATCAACAATGGCCTGAAGCCAAGTGGTTCTGCAGATGAAAGCTGAAGGAATGAACTGACTTCAGCACTGCAAATAGTTCCAAAAAACCAGAGATTGGCTCTAAAATTGACCCTTCCCAGCCATGGCACTAATGTGCTGTGCCACCCTTCTGAAAAACAAGGCGTAAAGGAAATTTCTTGGGGTGCTGGAAAGTGGGGAGGTGTGATAATCTCTGTTAGAGGTGCTGTAGGATTCAGAGAAGCAGCTTTGAATCATAGTTGCCTTTTTCATTCAGCCTTTCATGTTGTGTTTCCCTTCTTTGGAGCACTCAGATTGTGGGGGTTGCAAGTGCCTGGTTTCTGCAGAGTTTGATTTTCCTTTTCCAGTCTGTCTTCCTTCAACTTAAATTAGGCAATTATGAATTCATCAAAAGGCAGCCTGTGATGGGGGCAGGGACAGTTTGGTTTTGTCACCACAAGATTCTCAATGCTGTGGCACCCAAGGGTCCAGCCACTGCATTGTGACCCCCAAAGACCCCTTGGAACAGAGGGAAATAAAATGAGGAGAAAAATCATAAATATAAATATAAAAAAAAGGGTGAGCAGGGTGTGAAGTTACCCCTGAACTCACACACACAGTCCAGCTGGCAGCATCTGGAGGGAAAAGCTCATTGCCCCAAGGAGATGATGACACAAAATAGTGGGGTTTTTTGTCAGTTATAAAGAAAACAATGAAGTCAGCTGGTGGTGCTCTGGTCCCTACAGCAGCTCAGGGCTCCAAGGGCTCCCCAGTCAGGGCTGGAGATGCTTAGATTCCCCAAATATCCTAAGCCCAACTTCCCTCTGACAGTGCAGCCAGAGCTGAGGTGTTTTTGGAGCTCCCTCTGGAACCTGTCCCACAGAAACAACCCTTCTTCTCTGCTCTGGGAGTTGAGGACCAGGCACAGATGGGGGTGGCTATTCTGCTTCTGAGCTCCCTGAGAGCAAAACACAATCTGGGTTTCACTGCCAGATTCTCCTCAGAGCGTAAAATTGCTGCTTGATTTTATTTGTTCCTCACACCCCTCAGCTTTGTATTTCCTCCTTCAGCCAAGCTTGTTTTCAAAGCAGCTGCAATGGTGTCATTACTCTTTTAAGTCAAAACCTTGGCTCTTTCAGCACTCTTGTTCCTCTGGCAACTCCTGTAAGTGCTTTATCCTGATGGAGAGGTGATTTAATGCTTGCTTCCATAATCAGTACAAATGAAAGCCTCATTATACAGCAAAGCTGTGGCAAGTCTGTAATTACCTAGACTGTTATTTTAAAGATCTCCCCTGATAGCCCACTATTTCTCACTTAAAAAGCCCCATGTCTCATGTTAACTGTCCTCAAAGTGCTTCTCTTTTGGGAGAACACTGATTACAGGTAAATGATTCCTCTCTTGGAGGAGTATCAGTCAAGCCTTCCTGGTTTAATTTCTGGGTAATGTGCATACATGGGCACACAAATTGCACAGGGTAAATTTAGCAAGAGAAAATATTGAGTCAAAGGATCATATTTTGTTTTCCATGGCCAGTTCCTCCAGCAGCTCTGTGCTGGAGCTTTCCCTCTGTGAACAGTAGTGGGGGTACCTCAGCACTTTGATTTTTGCAATAAGATTTCAGAGACTATAAAACTTCTAACCTGTCATTTTACCTTGGTGAAGTTGATGGTAATGCCCTTACAAGGTCAGAAATTCACTTTTTATCCTCACAACCATCCATCTCCACTCTGGCTGTCACTGGTTCCCCATCAACCCCAGATCCATTCAAGAGCAATATTTTATTTTAAGAAGTTAAAGTGACTCTTGGTAGAGGGAAGAGTTGTTTGTGTGTGACCTTGTGTCACTGATATCCTTTCTACAACTCTGGCTGTGCATTATAAAAATCACACCCAAGGCAGGACTGAGGGGACAGGGGGCACGAGGGAGCTCCTTGGCCCCCAGCACTGCTCTGGGTGCTTTGGGACAGCTCTGCCTCACCACATCAGCACCACAGGGTGTCACAGAGCTGTGGCATGTCCCCTGCTGCAATCCATTCCAGAGAACCAGACCAGACCTTCTCAAACACTGAGGTTCTTCTCCAAAGAAACAGCAGGAGACACACACCAAAGCAGGTGGAACAGAGGCTGCTTGGCACCTTGGGTCAGGAGCCCTTTCTTTCCATGTAGAGTAGGAACTGTGTGCCAAGAATAAATGGTGTCTATGGAGAAAGGTCCTCTTTTCCTAAAGTTCTTTTGTCTGTGTTTCATCTTTCCCCTAATTCATGTGTGTGTGCATTTGTAACAGAGGTAGGAACTGTTCTTCTGGCTACAGAATGGGGAAGGGAAGGGAAGGGAAGGGAAGGGAAGGGAAGGGAAGGGAAAAGAGAAGAGAAGAGAAGAGAAGAGAAGAGAAGAGAAGAGAAGAGAAGAGAAGAGAAGAGAAGAGAAGAGAATCAATCTCTTACCGTCCTCTGGACAACCAGGATCATGATGGTGGCCAAGGCAAAGACAAGCAACACACCCAGGGTGGCGATGATGAAATACAAACAGACTTTGTTAGTGGCTCCAAGCCTCCTGGAATCAGTGTCTTCATTCACATTCATGGCTGATTCATGCGAGTCCTTCACCTGAGAAAGTGTTTGCTCCTGTTCCTGGCACGTTCTTATATAGCTCTCCAGGCACTGCTGTGTGTCTCCCCTCGGTCAGGTTCAAGTTGCAGCCCATCTCTGCTCCTGGCAGGATTTTCCCCCTTCATCCTGGCTCATGTGATCTGGAAAAAAAACTTCATCACTTGCCGTACAAAGAGAGAGGGCCCCGGGGGCGTGAGGCAGGACGCAGCTGTGAGCAGGGGAAGGAGCTTCATGTTCTTGCTCAGGGATTTCTCCACCGAGGTCCTGCGCTGCAGCAGAGGTTTCTGATGTCACAAGGTGCACAGACACCGCGATCCCCCGCCCCAGGCTCTGTGAAATGGGCAGATATGCAAATTCTCTTTCATTTTATACTCTGTGCAGCTGCAGTTGGGCTCAGGGAGTCGCCCCGAGCTCTGCCTTCCTGTTGTGCACTGAAAGCTCTGCTACCTCCCAACAGGGAGCCACCTCCAGAGCTCTGCATCCACAGCTGGCCTTTGGGCAGCCCCACTGTGCCCTGGAGTGCCCCAAGCACAGCATCACATCCAGGGGACAGAGAGAGGGAGGAGATGGACCTGCTCTGCCCTGTACCTCGAGTGCTGGGAGCAGTTTTGGGCACCTCAGCAGGACAAGGACATTGGACTCTGAGGGTGTGTCCAGAGTGGTGAAAAAGGCACCAAGGGCAGCAGAACTTATGAGGAACATCTTGGTTTGCTCAGGCTGGAGAAGAGGTGGTTGAGGAAGGACCTCATGGAAGTCCAGAGCTCCTTCCCAACGGGAGCAGGGCAGGAGCTGCTGATCCTGCACTGGGGGAAGTTCAGAAGGGATATTATGGAAATGCTCTTCCCTGAGAGGGTGGCTGATCACTGGAATAGGCTCCCCACAGCACTAACCCTGCCCAAGGGGAAAGGAACCTCTGGGTGAGCTTCTTGATCATAGGAGTTCGTGTTGGGCACTGCTGGGAGGAGCAGGGAGTTGGACTCAATCCTATGGATCCCTTCCTGCTCAAGATATTCTACAATTTTATGACTATCCTTGTCTGTAGAGATCTGGAGATATTTGGGTGGGATTTTCATGGAAGAATTTCACAGAAATGTGTCAGAAATAAATTTCTGATGCAGGATGCAAATTCTGGGCAGAAAGGAAGCGATGACACCAAAGCTGAACACAGAGGTTGGGATGTGCCCACAGAGGGTGTCAGTAATCCCAGGATTTTCTGCAGACAGGGAATTCCTGCTCACTTCTATCTTGTCCTGGCCTGAGACTATCACCCTGGCTTTGCACAGAGCTCAAGTGAAATTTATCTGGAAACATTCCCACTCTATTCAGTGCTAAAGGACCCTGCATGTTTTCCTTGGGATGACTCCTGACTTTCTGGCCAGTCCAAGTCAAAAGACACCTGAGTTTTTCTGACAATGTTCCCAGCTGGGTGTGTGTCCCCTTTTGAATCACATCCATTCAAACCAATTACTTTATTTAACAGGAAAACAAATCCTGGGTTGTCTCAGCTAATCCCAATTTGATATTACAAGGACATCAGAGAAGGCAAGGACAATCTTACCAATGGTCCACCCATCTCAGCACCTTGCCTTTGGCAGAGAGCAACAAGAAATTCCTTGGGAAGAATATCAGAACAGAAAAACCAGGCATTCATTGAGTGCAATTCTCCAGTTTCCTCTGATTTGGGCTCGTGGCCTCCCACACAGTAGAACTTTTAAATTTTAATCCAATTGTTCTTCTTTACACCCCTGACATGGCAGAGTTGTAGCATTTTCTATCATTACCACTATTTTTAATGAAATCACTGGAGCACAGCACTACAAAGGTTTCTACAGATTTGCAAAGCAATGTTTTTCACAGCATCCCTTATCACTATGGGAACAGGCACAACCTGTTTAAACCAGAGACAAAGGGATGAGAAAATGGTCTCACTTGGTCAGACCTGGCAGGCTGGATGAGGTGGATCCTCACCTTCTTGGTGGATGCAAAACTTCTGGACAGCCATGAGCAGCAGAGGTTCTAGTTCTGGAAATTAATCTTTATTATAAAGGAAAGATTTACAAATTGTTGCCTGTGAAAGTTCATTTGACCTCTTAAGGCAGCAAGCGCAGAGCAAATCCACTCTTTGAGAAGCAGCACATGGAGATCTCTCACCAAAGTAATCCCCAGTCCTCCTCAGCAATGTGACAGCTCTGAAATGCAGGAAAATCCCAATTCCCAATGTCCTGCAGTGACTCTGGAGCAGGCAGTCAGCACCTCCTGCTCATGACTGAGCAGGTACATCCCTCACTGGGGTAGATGATATTGCATGGGATAATGGAGGTGTAGTTTGTGGGGTGTCACCTTGTGTGGTGTCATGAGGAGGGCTCAGTTCTCAGTGAGCTCTTAGGCTTTTACACTCACACCTGGACTGCAGGTCAGCTCTTCAAACAGAGAAACACCTGTGCTAAACTCATGTAAGGACAACCAGGTATGGTGGCTACAAAAGGAAAAGAGATCAGTGAATGTCAGTGAGAAAAAATGGGATAAATTTGTGCAAACAAGTGCAATCCACGTTAAACCAGTTTCTGAGATAAATCTGCTCAGCCCACGAGCACAGCACTGCAAACCCACAGGGTGAGCTGGAATCTGCTGGGAAGGTCCTATAATCACAGAATCCCAGACTGGTTTGGGTTGGAAGGGACCTTAAAGCTCATCCTGTCCCATCCCCTGCCTGGGCAGAGACATCTCCCACCGTCCCAGGCTGCTCCAAGCCCTGTCCTGGCCTTGGACACTGCCAGGAATGAGGCACCCCCCAATAAATAGGGGTTTTGGAGTCTTCTGGCTGTGTGTTCTGGCTCAGAGGTGGTTCCTGTCCTGGCCTTGGGCACTTCCAGGGATGGGGCACCCCCATTAAATAGGGATTTTGGGTATTCTGGCTGTGTGCTCTGGCTTAGAGGTGGTGATGTGCTTTCAAACATGACAACGTCACCCTGCACACCTTTCACACTCTCACCTGCCTGATGGTGCTGATTCCCAGAGCACAGTTTCGTTCTTCTGACCAGTATTGCATCAGTTCTCCCCAGCTCTGGTTCAAGAGGTTAAACAGCAGGTGCTTGCCCCAAAGTTGCATCAGCACGAGCTGTGTCCTCTGCAGCAAAGAGCTTTGCATAAAAGGGCAGGGAGGCAGAAAACAAGGCAACCACAAAACCAGCAGCTCTAATTATTTCTTGGTAGATATTGCAAGTGATTGCCTTTGTCAGGAGAAATACAAAACATCCCAGCCTGTTGTTTGTACTTGTTGTTCTGCCCCTTGGCTGAAAGGAAATGAACTCACTGAGAGCTGAGAACCCATCCATGGGGTCACTGGAAATTCACCCTTGACTGAAGCTGTGATAACTGAAACTTTATCAAAGACAATAATGCCCAATTTTTGAGAGATGTGTGGGCACCCAGCTGCCACTGAAATCCAGGGGGTGAAGAGTGTAGGTGCCTTAGGAGGTTCCTGGGTTCATATGAATAGTGTCCATTTCTTGTCAAAGCCATCAGCCATGTTTACATCCCAGAAGCTCATCCAAGATCTGAGAGACAAAATGAACCCTAATGTCTTTTTTATTGCCCTGAGTGACTCCTGCCATCACCCTAATGGAGGGCCAGTGATAGCAGGGATGCTGTCAGGCTCCTTATGGAATCAGGGAATCACAGAGGGCTTTGAGGGGGAATGGACCTTAGAGATCATCCATCTTTGCAATGTCACTCTCAGTTTGTGCAGGCTGAACTATTTAATCTTGCCCATTCTTGAATTCTGCCCTCCTCTTATTCTTTTCTTTGATGCCTTTGTGCAAATCTCTTGGGGCTTCTTGGGCACACCACATACAGCAGGTTTTCTGGTGGAAAAGCAGGATTTTCCCCTGTCCAGAAGAGCTGGGCACTGAGATGCCTGAAAGACACATCAACACGAGCCACTGTAACAAAAAGTGTTTTTCTGGCAGTTCTACTTTTCCAAACTATTTCCTTAGATTTTCCACAGTGGAGCCCTGCAGGCCTACATAGATCACAGAATGGTTTGAGTTGGAAGGGATCTTAAAAAATCACCTGGTCCCACACCCTGCCACGGCAGGGACATCTGCCCCACTGTCCCAGGGTGCTCAGAGCTCCATCCAGCCTGGAATGAGAGGATTTGCAAGATCCTTGTGCAAGATCCTGGGATCCCTGCAAACACCACATCCAAAGGTGTTTGCAGGGATCCCAGGATGAGGGAAGAGACAAGGATCTGACTCCATGTTTCAGAAGACTGATTTATTATTTTATAATATATATTATATTAAAAGAAAATGATATATTAAAAGTATACTAAAGGAATAGAAGAAAGGATTTTATCAGAAAGCTTGAAAGGAATAGAAAGGAATGCAATGATAATAAAATCTTGTGACTGACCAGACAGTCTGAGCCAGCTGACTGTGATTGGCCATTAATTAGAAAAAACCACATGAGACCAATCACAGATGCACCTGTTGCATTCCACAGCAGCAGATAACCATTGTTTACATTTTGTTCCTGAGGCCTCTCAGCTTCTCAGGAGAAAAGATCCTAATGAAAGGATTTTTCATAAAACATGTCTGTGACAATCTTTATCTTCAGTGAGAGACCCCAGTGGTTGCAGGGTTCTCTGGCCCCCTCTGAGCTGCAGCTGATTGCACACCCATGAACATGTCAGCACATGTGGAGAGCATTTGATATGGAAATGCAAAATCAGTAAATTGAGGTGGCTGCAAAACACCCAGAGCACTTTGAGGATGAATCACCTCGTCGGAGGCTTTGTTTCCTCCGATGAATCACTGAGGGGTTGTGCTTGAGCTGCACATCTCAGCCCTTGGCCAAGGCTGAAAGAGTTGTTTGAGTTTATTTTTAACAGCATTTATTAGAATCTCTGTCCATTCACATGGTCCTGAGCAGAGGAAATCACACTCCGGTATCTCAGTGCCCACACTGCTGTGAGGATGCCTTTGGCTGTCAGCACAAAACTCTCTTTTGAGGGAGATGCT